AGATAGATAGATAGATAGATAGATAGATAGATAGATAGATAGATAGATAGATAGAGACAGACAGACAGACAGACAGACAGACAGACAGACTCAGAGAGAAACAGACGAAGTAGATAGGTAGATAAGTAGACAGACAGCCAAACAGACACATCCTGTAAATATTGGTACCGCACGCACTAACCAACGGTTCTAGTAAAAGAACTTACGGTGGTGACCAGCTTCCCGGCGTTCTTCTGCATGTAACCGATGGCATCCTGAACCAAAGAGAAGAGGTTCAGGAGCACGTGTTCTATGTCGTAGGTGCCCTTCATGCCCTTCACCATGCCTTCCAGAGAGCGGAGATATTCCCGCCAGTGACCGTCGATCTGCACCACGCTGGCCAAGCACCCTTGCAACACCCCGCCGCAGAACCCCGCACACGGCTTGGCCAGCAGCAGCTCCTGGCACTGGGGACAGTACCACATCTTCAGCAGCGCCCGTCCACACTCCTTGCTGAACCTCAGGTGATCGGTGGTGTTGACCACTTCAATGCCGAGGTTGAGCGCCTGGAGGAAGAGCCGGGTGACCTGCAGGGACTTTGACACCTGGGTCATCATGATTTTGGGGAAGGGGCCGAATGCCTTCAAGTCCCGCCGGGCTAGCCGTAGGCACTCCAGGGTCTCCACGGGAGGGTCGGGGGCTCCTGGGTGGATCAGGTGTGGGTAGACCAAGGGGAACAAGCTGTCGAATAGCTCGTTGACCATGTCGTTGACGTTGATATCGGAGCCCAAGATGTAGAGGGAGACGTCGGTGAAGAATTCCCCCGCCAGTTTAGAAGTCCTGGCAGCCACGTGCCGATAGTAGCTGCTGAACATGGAGCTGGTGTGGTCCCTGGCGTGGCGCACGACCATTTCAAAGGCTTCTGAAAAGCAAAAGAGGATTTGGTTAGTAAGTCAGCAGGCGAGACGATCACAACAGCAATTTTAAGGATTTCCTGGGAGAAAGATGTAAAAAGCCAGAGAAATTCAGGAGAATAGCAATAGCAANAAATGTTGACAAGAAAGAGGAACTTGTTCATTAAAGAATTCCTTACCAAGTGCTGCAACTGGTTATACTTTACTTGTGCTCAGAAACTATCATCCAGTCTTTGCTTATCATGTTTTCAAAATGTCCTCAGTGATATCCAGTGCTTGGAGTTGATGGAAAGCTTGTTCTTATGTTTATGGATACCTTGCTAGGAACATATACTAATTAAGGAAATTAGATTGTGATTCTGGGCATCGTTTGAATTATTCCTGGGCAGACTATCTATGGATGCAGATCTCATAGAGCATCATGGCCAAAGAAATGAAATGTCACAAGAGATGATAACATACTGCATATAATTATGACATATTTTGCTCATCCATCTCAGGAAAATTCTGCCTGACATTGACGAGGAAGTATAGCAGATCCGGATATGAGAGGAATTTAAACTCTACCATTTCAAAAATAATTGAATAATGGTAGGCAATTCTATAAAGCCTCAGTTATCTAAGGAAACAACCATATTTGCTTAAAAACACTAATATGAACCTTCCATTATAAATATTACCTTAATGAATGGACTAAATTAAAAGGAATAAAATGAGAAAAACCTTCTCCCTGTAAAAATAAACATAAATTTAAGAAGATGCTTTCCATCAAATCTGAGCACTGGACATCACTGAGGACACTTTGAAAACATGATAAGACTGGATGATAGTTTCTGACCACAAGTAAAGTGTAACCAGTTGCAGCACTTGGTAAGGAATTCTTGAATGAACAAGTTCCTCCTTCTTGTCCACATTTTTTTTAAAACACTGCATAAGACCAATATAAACAGTGAGATTCATCCCAGCTTCCTAAGTAAAATGAGGAAGCATGTGCAAATCACCCAGTCCTGTGACCTGTAGTTATTTAAGGGTGATAACCAGCACCTTGAATGGTGCCATGGACAAACTTCAGAGCCACTGCAGCTCATGCAACAGAGGTCTAATATGGATGAACCTCAAAGGGCCCAATATTGTGAACACCTCTTTATTTCAGACCAGATGCATGAAACAGTAGAGAATATTCATAGCTCAATTTAGATTGTGGCAGTGATTTCTTCTCCAAGCTTCCTATTTAGCTCTTGGACATTTCATTACCCGGCAATGTAACAACTTCAGTGGGGCTTTGGGTACAGTGTCTTGTTCAGTTTCTCTTCTGTTTATATCGGCCTTATGTGGTGTTGTGTTCAGTTGGTTACCTGACTGGCTGTTTGTGTGGCACAAACCAGTGAGGAATATGAGCCAACCGTGTGCAGCAGCTGCCAAAAAAGCCAAAACAGTTCTAGGCTGCATAAACAGAGGGATAGAATCAAGATCACGTGAAGGGTTAATACCACTTTATAAGGCCTTGGTAAGGCCACACTTGGAATACGGCATTCAGTTTTGGTTGCCACGAAATAAAAAAGACGTGGAGACTCTAGAAAGAGTGCAGAGAAGAGCAACAAAGAGGATTAGGGGACTT